CTGCTCGCGTTCCGCTTCGCCTTCAACCTCTTCTCGACCATCACGGGCGCACCGATCGTGTCGTGGGTCACCCACCTCGACATGGGCTGGATCAACATCACGCCGCGCCTCCTCTTCATCTCGGCGACCATGTACTACGGCCGCGTTGCGCTGCAGTGGAACTGGCGCCGCGTCCTCGCTTTCTGGACCTTCTCCAACATTGTGCTCATGGCCCTCGCCACGTTCTTTGTCATCTGCGACGTCTCGCGCAACGCGTACCTCTACTCGGTGCTGCTCGTGCTCACGGGCGTCCCCGTCTCGGTCATCAACCTCATCATGGGATTTCTCATGGTCGAGATGGCCGGCGTCGGCTACGAAGCCGTCATGGCGGGTCTTTGGGCCTCGATCCGCGACCTCAACGTGCCGATCGCCAACAAGGTGCGCTCGTGGCTCCTCGACGGCTTTCCCGCCACGATGAGCTTGAAGAACGACGCAGAGACCAAGCATCACGCCGCCTACATGCACCTTATTGCGTTTGCGATCCAGCTGATCGGTCTTGTTTGGATCGTCTTGCTGCCGTCGCAAAAGGCACCGCTGGCTCTGATGAAGCAGCGCGGCGGCGCCACGTCATTCGGCGTCCTTGTCGTGCTCGGCTACGTTGCGCTCATGGCGTTCTCGTGGGAACAAAACGTGCACAACTATGTCCAATAAGAACTGCCAGTACTAGACACACTAAGATACAACTAAGAATCGACTATTTATGATTTCATACACTCGACTGCGCGTCGGTGCCTACTACTAGTACGTGGCAACAGGACGTCTCTTTTGAGCGTGCGATGTCATCTCATGATTGGCGAAAGGAATGCGCTACAACAACAATACCGCCATGCTGTCGTCGCGGATGCCCGTCGACGCTTGTCCTGCAACGAACGCGCTGCTTGTTTCTGTTCAGCAGCAAACGTTTGAGATGATTGCCGTCGGACCGATTACGCTCCAGCGACGGTTGATGAACAATGAAGCTCGACGCGGCCCCCGTGGGCCTGTTTGCGTTTTCGCGATCACGCCTGCGTCGCAGTGTTGGTCACCGTGTACGTCACCAAGCCACACACCTCTACTGCAAGGGAGACGCTCGCGAATGCGTCAAGCTCCCGGAGAGCGTCCCTAGTATCTCCAACAGAGAGTCTTGTGCAGAGAGTCGACGCCAGGTACTGTGGCCTTGGCGCCTCCTTCGAGGTGGCTATATTCGTCGCGACGCACATATCGCAGACCACGTGGCGCTCGGATTTGCGTCCATCTGGATGGCCACGTCGTTTTTATGGTGCGAGAGTGCACTTCACGCAGGTAAACGGCAGGGTGCGGTATCTGTGACAGGCACCGCAACCGTCATGTCAACATGCGCCCAAGGGCGGCGATGCCAGTCATTCGAGAATTCAACCTCATGAGCGCATCTCCATCACCCGTGGCGCCACCTCTGGACGTCGCGTGCGGGGACCCAATCAACGGCGGCGACTACTGCGGCGACTCGACGACACTGCACGTCTCGAGCAACGACGAGAGCACGAATGGCGAGGCGCTGGCGCCCGGCGAGACGGTCGGTCTCTTGTCCAAGCCCGCGCTCGTGCTCTACTTCCAGTCGATCGTGTCGACCTTCATGCAGAACGTCCTGCCGCCGCTCAAGCTCTACGTCTTCATGGCGTATCTGCACAGCTCTGCAGACAACTACGCGCAGCTCACCGCGCTCGAGAACCTCGCGTGGTCGCTGCGCGTGCTCTTTGCTCTCCTTTCCGACTACCTCCCGGTGTTTGGCCACCGCCGGCGCTTCTGGCTCAGCCTCGGCTGGGTGATTACGTGCGTGAGCCTCGCCGTCATGGGCTTCTCGTCGTTCGGGTCGCCGTTCTGCGACCCGAAAGACTACCCGACATGCTGGAACCCCAAGGCTAACACGACGAAGGCGGCGTACGACTTTGGAGCCCCGGGCCGCGTCGCCTGGTACCGCATCCCGACCTTCTTTGCGACGCTTGGCGTCGTCCTTGTCGCCGCCAACGTCGACGGACTCATGGTCGAGTACGCACAGCGCGAGCCAATCGCAACGCGCGGCCAGATCCAGGCCGTGGTGTACGCGCTCACGGGCACTGGCGGCCTCGCAGCGCGCTTCTTTATTCAGCTCATGCTCAACGGCAAGCGCTACGGCGGCTCCTACGACTGGTCTGTCGGTGCCAATGTCCCGTACCTCCTCAGTCTCGGCGGCGGTCTCGTCGCGCTTTTGACTGCGCTGGTGTTTGTGCACGACAGTCCTCGGCCGTTCGTCCCGTTTCGCCAGTGGCTCGGCGGTCTCTGGCTGCTCTTGACCAACCGCGCCGTGTACCAGCTGCTCATCTTCCGGTTCTTCTACTACCTCTTCAACAACGTGTACGGCAACCCGCTCTTGGCGTTTGGTATCCCGCTCGTGCGCTGGGTCGACGACTTGGACATGGGCTGGATCAACATCACGCCGCGCCTCCTCTTCGTGCCCGTGACGGGCTACGTCGGTCGGACCGGGTTGCAGTGGAACTGGCGCTACGTCGCGGCCGGCGCCACCGGCGTCAACATTGCGCTCATGGCGTTTGCGAGCTTTTTTGTCATTTATGACGTGTGCCGCAACGCGTGGTTCTACACGGCCGTCATCGTCCTCACGGGTGCTCCCGTTGCGATCAACTACCTTCTCCAGGGTCTTGTCATGGTCGAGCTCGCGGGCGTCGGGTACGAAGCGATGACTGCCGCGCTCTGGGCGACAATCAAAGACCTCAACGTGCCGATCGCGCTCAAGTGGCACAGTTTCATCACCGACCAGTTTCCGGTCAAGAGCATGCTTCTCAAGGACGACGACCACACCCGCAACCACGTCGCGTCGACCCACGCGATTTCGTTTGCGATTCAATTCGTCGGCCTCGCGTGGTTCCTTCTCGTGCCGACCCAGAAGCTCGCGATGCGTGCGCTCAAGCACGGCGCTGGCTCGCGTCTTGGCGGGGCGGTCGTCGTTGTCGGCTACTTCGCGATGCTCGTGTTCCTTTGGCAACAAAACATCGACAGCTATAGCAACTAAGTTACTCTATTTTACTAATGCATCTATCACCTCACGCACCAATTTTGTCGCTGGGAACGCCAGGAACCACAAGCGATGACGTGATCGTTACACGTCGTTACAGATGGACCCCAGCCCTGGCGGCGGATGGCAGCGTGCGGTAAAGTTCTTAGTACAATAAGAAATGTAGTGCGGTTAATGTTTATGGAAGTGCGGTCGCTAGGTATTAGTAGTTGTAGAGACTCTGCTGCAGCGCAAAGATGATCAATACGAGGTAGGCGAGAACGACGAGGACGCCCGCAATGGGCGACCGATCGTTGCGCGCGAGCAACTGCAGCGTCGGGAGCCGGTGTGTTGGGAGGAAGACCACAAAGAGAACGCCAATCAGCTGGAGGGAAAAGCTTATGACGTGCGAGTACATGACGTTGTCGCGCGTGTGCGGATCGTTGAGGAGCGCAGTGTTGGCGGGAAAAGCGTCGTTCATGATGAGGCGCCAGCGCGCGGCGACAGGTAGCATGAGGTTGCTCACGGCACCGTAGAGCGCTGCAATGGTGGCTTCATGGCCGACGCCGGCCACCTCGACCATGACCCAGCCGGGCATGAGCGTCATAAACGCCAATGCAATCGCACTCAGCGCCAAGATGACGAGGTAAAAGTATTGGTTGCGGCAGACGTCGAAAATGACAAAAAAGGTCGCCAAGGCCGTGAGCACGATGCTAAAGACGGACGCAATACCCACGCACTTGCGCCAGTTCCACTGCAGTCCCCGGCGCATGATCTGAATCAACGTCGGGACGTAGAGGATGCGGCCCATGACGTTGGACCAGCCGATGCTGATGTCGGTCACCCACGAAATGATCGGCGTGCCCAACGGGCTCTGGAAGAGCGAGTAGAAGATGCGAAACACCACGAGCTGGTACACGGCGCGGTTTTGCACCAGGCGCCAGAGCCCGGTCGTCCACTCGGCCAGCGACTTGATGTGGTTGTGGGTGTCGCGGAAGTAGCAAATGGCCAAGAGAAGCGCGACGGTGCTCAAGCCAAAGCCAATCATGTAGGCGACCGCGGGACCGGCCGAAAAGTCGTACGTGCCGCCGTACCGCGGCGCGTTCAGTCCAAAGAGGCCAAAGAAGCGGGCGTACAGAATGCCGAGGCCCGAGATAAAGTACGTGAACGCCTGCAGCCGGCCGCGGAGCGCCAGCGGCTCGCGGTGGCAGTACTCGACCATGACGCCGTCGAGCGACGCCTGCACCATCGCAACACCGAGGTGCACAAAGAAGGTGGGAGTTCGGTACCATGCGGCTTGGTTGGGCGCGTCCAGGTTGTACGCTGCTCGCGTCGTGTTGGCCTTGGGGTTCCAGCACGTTGGGTACACTTGGGGGTCGCAGTAGGGGTCGCCGACGGACGAAAAGGCCATGACCGACACGCTGGCAACGGTCACGACCCAGCCCAGCACGAGCCACAGCTTGCGCCGGTAGCCAAAGAGCGTGACGTAGTCCGAGCAAACGGCAAAGAAGATACGTGGCACCCACGCCATCCACTGGAGCCAGGTGAACTGGGCGACGACGTGCGCCGGCGCATGCAGATAGGCGGTGAAGAGGTACGTGTTGAGAGGCGGTAGCGCCCACTGCAGAAAACTCGCCGCGATGCTCTGAATGTAAAAGACGATGGCGTCGCGCGAGTTGAGAGCGAGGGCACCGCCGGGGGCGAGGGCCGAGGCTGGATCGTGAGCAAAGTCATCGGAGAGGCCAGCGAAGTCGACGTCGCTCGAGTCTGTCGGTGGGGGGTCTTTCGAAAGCGAGGTGGGTGGCGGGATGTCGACCATGGTAACTTATAAAGAATGGGGCTAGTCGAATATATTTGACAACCGATAACTTTGTCGCTACTCTATGAAGCGAGCATTTTACACGATGCTTATGGGGCGCAAACCTTGGCGTGATCGCCTTGCAACAAATTGACGTGGTCTTTGACGTGTAGGTTAAAGTCGCTGGTTCCCGCGTTAAAGAGAGCGGGCTCGCACGTTCGACGACTCTGTTCAAGCCTGCGTAGTGTAGGGCGTCCAAATGCCTTGAGTGGCATTCAATGTTATGATATTGGTTGTCTTCGTCAAGCCAGGAGTGTGTGGTTGCGCCAATACCAACGTGGTGCGTCACATGGGTTTAACCTATGTATTGGTTGAGTAAAACGTACGTGGCACATAGAATGGCTCAAGCTATGGAACCGAGGCCATTTCATATCCGTTTACACCGAGAGGTTCGACGCAAACACGATATTTGATTGAAACTCAGTATGGACCCAGCGAACGCGCGGTGGTTACCCGCGCCATGACGTCTGATCCTGCTTGATCAGCTCAGTTTGTGTGAAAGGGCACGAGGAGGTGCGGTGTGCAAATGCTGTTTGCATGGGATGCTGCCTCTATTGGCGTAACTTGGGGCTTACTGGAGCTCGAGCCACGCAGCGGCATCGACGCGAGACGCTCGTCATCGAGCTCGGTATTTTCGTCGCATTTTGACATTAGGCGCGCGTTTGAGGCTCGTTCAACGGAGGTTCAACTGCATTTCTTTACCGACTCATTGTTGGGCGCTGATACGCTGAATACCGAGTCCCACACGACGCTAGGTTGGTGACGCAACACAAGAATGAAGGATGATGCAGGCCATGAGTGTGTTTCCCAAAGCGTGAGAATGCCATGCACAACGTTGTAAAGTGTAGCAGTGACGAGACTGCACAGGTGGCCGCAGGTTTGACATCAACGCCTGCTGATAAGGCCTGATTTTATATGTGGTAAAACGTCTAATTGTGGCGTAACGGCCATATTTAGAAAGGTGAAACGGGCAGTTCTCAAGCGCGATTTTAGGGGCCACGTGGTGGACGATGTGACCAAACTCGCGCCAAAACTATAGCTAAAACCACCCAGAATCCACGCCTTGCGGACGTGCAAAGGACCATGTGACTACCAAGGACTATTCCCGTCGTTCGCTTGTGCTGGTAGCGCCAACCTGCGATGGCATCTCAAAATTCAATCGGGTGCTGTAGTCTCTGCCAGATTCTTGAGATTGCTAGTTCTCAGTGACATCTCGCCGTCTTGAATACGAGTTTGCTTATCTTGGCGCCGCGAGGTATCAGCTCTAGCGCGATCCGTGCTTATCTGCAACGGCAAGCAACAACCACCACTCAAGGCTGACTCAAGGCCCACATAAAACGCAAGTGGCCGTCGCAGGGTCCGCCTTCTGCTTGTTTTCTATGCGAGTAATGCGGCGGAACGCGCGCTTCAGCGCTTACGCTACGAGTAGCCTCGCAATGACGATGGGCATTTGATTGAGTCAAGCAGAGGCCACCGCATCGGCCAGCGATAAACACCGCATCGGGCGTGACGTTAAACACGCGGTAAATGTATTTTAGTGCGTTTAAACACCTCTTTTCCGGTCTTTAACGTGAGGTCGGAGCAAGACACGTCACGTTAAACCCGGATAACTCGGGCGATGGATAAGCGTAATCGTCAAACCAACGAGCGACAGCCTGCGAGAATGACTCGCATGCGCAGGAGCGAATGATCCCGACCTTCGGACGATCCAACTACTAATCTATCGTAATAAATTTTGTCGCGGGCTTGCACACAAGAGTCATTTTCCAATTTGCCTCGGCCATGACAACGGCAACAACGGACCCGCACGTCGAGCTCCACCCCGAGGGCTTCTTTGTCGAGACGCCGGAAGCGAGCTTCAAGCCGTTTGCGTCCGGTGACGACGACCCGTCGACGGCCCTCGCGCCGGGCGAGCCCGTCGTGATGAAGTCGCGGCCCGCGATTGTATTTTTCGTGGAAATGTTCATGGCCAACCTCCTCCAGGTCCTCCTGCCGCCGCTCAACACGTACATTTATGGCTCGTACCTTCACGGCTCGGCGGCGCACGTCGCTCAGATCGCGTCGCTTCAAGCCGGCGCGTGGACCTTGCGCGTCTTCTTTGCGATTCTCATCGACATTGTGCCCGTCTTTGGCTACCGGCGCAAGTTTTGGCTCGTCGCGGGCTGGCTCGTCACGATCGGCGCGCTTCTCTCCATGGCGTGCCGGTCATTTGGCGACCCGTACTGCGACCCAAAGGACCACCCGGGCTGCGCAACCGCGCTCAACCCCAACGGCTCGTTCTACAATCTCGACGCGCCCAACTCGGTTCCGTGGTTTCGGACGCCCATCTTCTTCCTGATGCTCGGCATCATGATCGTGCAGGCGACGCTCGACGGCGTCCTCATCGAGTACGCGCAGCGCGACCCGATCAGCACCCGCGGTATCTTCCAGGGCTTCACCTACTTCTTCCAAGGCATTGGCGCGGTCTGGGGCCGCCTCTTCCTCCAGCTCTTCCTCAACAGCAGGCGCTACGGGGGCTACTACGACTGGTCGGCGGGCCCCAACACCCCGTACTTTGTCGCGATCTTCTTTAGCCTCTGCGCGTTCGTTCCGGCCATCGCGCTCTTCCGCGACACGAAGAACCACATCAAGAGCGTACCCGAGTGGTTTGGCCAGCTCTGGACGCTGCTGCAGAACCGCGCCGTGTACCAGCTGCTCGCGTTCCGGTTCCTGACCAACCTCTTCCAGAGCCCGACGGGACCGACGGTCGTGACGTGGGTCAAGCATCTCGACTTGGGCTGGGCGAACGTGATCCCACGCGTCCCGTACATCCCCACGATCATCCTCACAACCAAGAAGGGCCGGTCGTGGAACTGGCAAAAGGCGCTCTTCATCGCGACGCTGGTCGGCATCCTCCTCACGGCGTTCCCCGTGCTCTTTGTCGTCTGGGACGTGTGCCGCAACGACTACTTTTACATCATCCTCTTCGCGCTCGCGATCGTCTCGACGGGCATGAACACGCTCATTCCCGGGTGGGCGCTCGTCGAGGTCGCCGGCGTCGGCCACGAAGCCACGATTGCTGCCATCTTTGCCACCATCAAGGACCTCAACGTGCCCCTTACGACCCGCTGGCGCACCTACATGGCCGAGTCGTACCCGGCCAACCTGGCACTGCTCAACGACAGCCACACGCAGAACCAAGTCGGGTACAACTGGCTCATCTGCCTCGGCATTCAACTCGTCGGCCTCGCGTTTATCTTTCTCATTCCGTCCCATCGCCAGCCGCTGCTTGCGATGAAGCAAGCCAGCAAGGGCTCGATGATCGGCGGCGCGCTCGTCATCGCCGGGTACATCGCTCTCTTTGTCGTCGACTGGCAGCAAAACTTCAAGGACTACTAAGCGAACGTTTCTATACACTAAACTATGCATAATACAGAACCTTGCACCAATGATACGGTGGTGCTCTGTGCTCTTGTGTTCACGCATGGTTCTGCACCATGGTGCTTGAAGCTTTGACGGCTACCTCGGCAAAAGGCAGCGCTGCCGGGTGGTAGAGTCGCTGCCAAGAGCCGGTCCCGTCCAATCGAATGGTAAAGTCGAAACGGCGCGTTGCGGGGCTGCCACGTCATAACCTTCGAGTAGCCCAGATAGTCCTCACACATCCCACCTACAAGAACGGCGACTATCTAGCGTTAATACATGCAAATAGGCTTTGCTACTTTGTTTTCGACTAGTATCAGCACCAGCTACTAGACCAAAAGAATGACTCGAGTCCTCATGTACCGTGATGTGATCATCACTGGTGACCTGAGTCGTAATCGTGCTTGAAGTGCAGCTCACGTCACTGGCTCCAAGCTGTTTAAACACACACCTGTCGCCGTTTTTGTGTGTTTTAACCAACATTCTTCGCGTTAAACGTCGCTTCGACATGGAGTAAAATGGTTTGACCTGGACGCGACTGAGCGGTGGCAGCATCATCGATGACGGTTCCCAAATATGATGATGGTCGAGGAACAGTCCGAGGATGGTTCCACTTCGACTAAGCTTACACCTCCAAGCGAATCATTTCTCGATTTGCCTTGCAGCATGGACCTTCAGCAGCAGCCGGACCTTGAAGCGCACTACAAGCCACTTGGCGACAGCGACCCGTCGACCGCCCTCGCGCCCGGTGGCGCCGTCCCACTCAAGTCGACGACAGCGATCACGTTCTTTGTCCTCTCGGTCGTCTCGACCTTTTTCCAGACCGTGGCGCCACCGCTCAACGCGTCAGTCTTTGGCGCGTACCTCCACGGCGCCGTGCCGACCGTCGCGCAGTTTGCCTCGCTCCAAGCGATTGCGTGGACGCTCCGTGTGCTCTTCGCCTTCCTCTCGGACGCGATCCAAGTCGGCGGCTACCGGCGCAAGCTCTGGCTGCTTGTGGGCTGGATCGTCTGCGTCGCCAGCGTCGGGTGCATCGCCTTCTCGGACTTTGGCGCGCCGTTCTGCGACCCAAAGGAGTACCCAAGCTGCTGGAACCCCAAGGCCAACACGACGAAAACGGCTTACGATGTCTCGGCGCCGAGCCGCGTCGCCTGGTACCGGGCACCGACGTTCTTTGCGATGCTCGGCGTTGTTCTCGTGCAAGCGAACCTTGATGGCGTCCTCGTCGAAATTGCCCAGCGCGAGCCGATCAGCGTTCGGGGGACGTTCCAGACGCTCACGTACTTCATCTCGGGCATCGGCGGCGTCCTCGCGCGCTTCTTCATGCTCTTTTGCCTCAGCGCCAAGCGCTATGGCGGCGGCTACGACTGGTCCGCGGGCCCCAACGCGCCGTTCTACATTGCGTTTGGCCTCGGACTCGTCGCCATTGTCCTCACGATCAGCGTCTTTCGAGACACCCACAACCCGATCCAGGGCCTTCCCAACTGGTGCCGTCAGCTTTGGACGCTGCTGCAGACGCGTGCGCTGTACCAGCTCCTATCGTTTCGCTTGCTCACGAGCGTCTTTCAGAGCCCGACGGGACCGTCGGTGATGACGTGGGTCACCAACCTCGACCTTGCGTGGGCCAACGTCATCCCTCGCATCCCGTATGTGCCCACGATGATCATTACGCTCAAGAAGGGCATGGGCTGGAACTGGCGCAAGGCCGTCTTCATCACGACCCTCGGCAGCATCATTGTGACTTCGATCGCAACCTTTTTTGTCATTTACGACGTCTGCCGCAACGACTACTTTTACATCATCGTCATCGCGCCGGCCTCGATCGCACTCGGTATGAACACGCTCATGCCCGGCTGGGCCATGGTCGAGGTCGCGACCCCCGGCCACGAAGCCACGACCGCCGCCATCTACGCCACCATCAAGGATCTCGTCGTGCCCATCACGGCTCGCTGGCGCGCCTACATGGCCGAGTCGTTTCCTGCCAACCTGGCGCTGCTCAACGACAACCACACGCAGAACCAAGTCGGGTACAACTGGATCGTCTGTCTCAGCATTCAAGTCGCGGGACTTGCGTTCATCGTACTCCTACCGGCGCAGCGCAAGCCGTTGCTCGAGATGAAGGCGCGCGGCGAGCTCTCGGTCTTGGCCGCGGTGGTCGTGGTCGTGGCGTACTTTGCATTGTTGGTGTTTGCGTGGCAGCAAAACCTAAAAGACTACTAAATCTTAGTTATTTAAACGAATTCGATTACAAGTATCGACGACAATACAACATGAATATCTTGCACTGTGGGTGTCTGTCCTTCAGAACAGATCGATCTGGTGAAGTATAGAACAAGCACGTCGTTTGCTGCAGAGAGCGAATATGACGTGTGGTCGGAAGAGACGTGAAGCGAGTCAACTACAGCTACATGCCAGTGCGTTTGAAACCTGCAGCTCGGCATTGATTCGTGGCTCTGCCACGTCATGCCTAAAATTAGAGCCCGCAGCTCGTGCTGCCACGTATAGATAGGTCGATGTGACGGGTGCCTTTGTAGCCGCCGCACTTTGTTGACGCCTTGTCGCGGGTGGCATTATCTTTTTTTCACTCGTATGCCACTTTGCATGCTGGCCGTAAACGAAATTGAAGTACAACGGTCCCTACGACAAGTAATTCCATTTAAACGCGCACGAAAAGACATAGAACACACATTTTAGCCTGTTTAACGTACCAGGTTTGCAATCCCATCGTTTTCTTCCGCCCATGCCAAAATGACCAAAGCATCATCCTCCTAAAGTGGGATGAAGATTGAGCTGGGAGCTTGCAAAAGATCATTCTGCGATTCGCTCTCTTCAGCACACATGAGCCTCCACAATTGCACCGCCGATATCGAAGCCAACTACAAGCCTATTGGTGACGCCGACCCCGCGACGGCCATCGCACCCGGTGGCGCCGTCCCACTCAGATCACCGACAGCCATCACCTTTTACCGGCTCACGATCCTCGCCAGCTTCTTTCAGACGATTGCTGCACCGCTCAATACGTCCATTTTTGCCTTGTACCTGCACGGCGCGCCACCCACCGTCGCGCAACTAACGTCACTGCAAGCCATTGCATGGTCGCTGCGCGTGGCTTGTGCCATGTGCTCAGATACCATCAAACTCGGCGGCTACCGGCGCAAGCTCTGGCTGCTAATGGGGTGGATCATCACGACTACAAGTGTCGCTGTGATGGCGTTCTCGGACTTTGGCCCGCCGTACTGTGATCCCAATGTCAATCCCGGGTGCATGCGCACAGCGCCCACCAACGCGAAAAGCCAGATCTACGACTTGTCGGCGCCCAGTCGCGTGCGCTGGTACCGTGTTCCCACGTTCTTTTCGGCGGTCGGCATGGTCATGGTGCAAACGACGCTCGACGGCGCCATGGTCGAGATCGCCCACCGGGAGCCGGTCGATATTCGCGGCCAATTCCAGACGGTCGCTGTACTCGTTAGCGGTATCGGTGCGGTGCTGACTCGTGTTTTGCTGCAGTTTGGCTTCAACGAAAAGCGCTACGGCGGCAATTACGACTACTCGGCGGGGCCTCACGTTGCATACGGCATTCTCTTTGGTCTTGGTCTCCTGGGTTGTGTCGCGACGGCCTTGCGCTTCGAAGACACGCTCAGCCCAATCGAAGAGTGTTTCAACTGGTGGCGCCAACTCTGGTCACTGCTACAAACGCGCGCAGTCTACCAGCTCCTATCGTTTCGCTTGCTCACGAGCGTCTTTCAGAGCACGTCGGGACCGTCGGTGATGAATTGGGTCACCAACCTCGATTTTGTGTGGACCAATGTCGTTCAGCGCGTTCCATTTACCCCGACGTTGATTGTCATCTTCTTCAAGGGCATGGGCTGGAACTGGCGCAAGGTCGTCTTCATCACGACCCTCGGCAGCATCGTCGTCACGGCGATCCCGGTCCTCTGTGTCACGTGGAATGTCTGCCGCAACGCGTACTTTTACGTCCTCATCCTTTGGCTCTCCTTTGTGGGGGTCGCCACAAACAC